CTGCAGTCATTTGAATAAAGATCATAAAGAATCATTATGAGTATTTTCTCGGATGTGTGCACTATATTCTTTTTTATTTAAATTTACCCCTGTAGAAAAGTTTTAGGAAAAAATACAGTTTCCTTTACCTGGCTCAGATTTTAAGAATTAATAAACAAAGCAAATGTTATCATTTTCTTTATGCAATTCTAATTTGCGTTTTTTGTCAATGAGAAAAGGTAAAATAAAAAAATCACTCCTCGTATTCTTGAAATAAAGCCAAAATTATAAAATGTGTGTCTCATGGAACAGCCAATAAAATCGATGTTGGTATAGATTGGGGTTCTTTTCGGTGTGTAAATACTTAATTTTAAATGGTAACGTTTCAATTTTATTACCTTTCTATGCATGATTTTTTCCCAGGAGCGTATATACATGTACTTACATGTATATTATACATAATATAGCGTTAAAACATGAATCTGCATGGGCAGCAGAAGGGCATGATGCAGGAGTGTCTCAATTTTTTCCCTTCATATTCCCAGTGGCTCAATAATCAATCAAATCCCAGTGGCTCAATGGCCAAGTCACTTCAGAGGATACGATTAAGGAAAATAAGGAAATTCTTGGGAATTAATTCAGGTTCAGATTAATTTTAGTTGGCGCTTTAAAACTTCTTTGCTGCCGTAGAAGGCGGCTAAGAACTAAAGTCAAAGGAACGTTAAGTTTTTATCCATCTTCTTTCGGAACAATTGTTGAAGCTATCGATGGTGTATCTGAGCTATAAAATAAAAATACGAGATTGAGTGTAGCTTAACATGATATATGTTTTTTACGTTGAAATTAAATTTTTCACTGATTTTGAACTTGAATAACTTCATGTTTCCAGAGTTAGATTGATTAAAAAAAAATTAAACTGTGTCTGTTAATTAAATGCGGAATCGGTAAATAAATCGGTTATTGTTTTTAATTTCTAATATCTTTGAAACGTGATTGATTTAAATTGTGTAATTTACAGGAAAGTCCTAATTTTATATAAAGTAATAAAACAAATAGATTTTTTTTTTTTACTTAGGTAGTCTGAACTTACAAAAAAAACAAATACGCCATATATGACTTCAAATAATTCTTACGAATATTTCTCAGTGGTTAGAATTTTTTTGCAGACATTATACAAAATATATTTAAAATGAAAAAAGCATATTTACAACTGGTAAAATAATACAGACACGGAGCTTCAGGAGGGCCGCCCCCTTCCATTTTTTCCCCCAAACATTGAAAAGGCGCACCCTTGTCCCCTCTTCCACCATTTGTTGTAGTATGGTATGTCAAATCACCCCATGAGAATGTATTATGATATAAAATATTTTTGTCGGAAAAGTTGTAATCCCTCCTTCCAAGAAATGAAAATGTTGAGTTTGGATAGCCCCTTTTTCTCCTTGTCAAAGATTGTTCAGATAAATCGTCGATTTTTTTTCTGTCCTCCACCCCACCCCCCCACCCCCATTTTTTCAAAAGCGATACTACTGCCTGTAATATAAGCTGAGAAAATAATATAACATTCCACTTTTTATTCTGTGACATTAATGAAGCCAAAGAGATGACATTTCAGGCTTTCTGGAAAGCCAAACTTGTTCATTCTAGCATCAAATAAAAAAGACCACTCCCCCCAACCCCACCCCATTGTTTTTATTGAAGGTAATCAATTTTTGTTGTTTTATGTTCCTTGCAAGATTTTTTCATTCATATGAGACCTAGCCAGACACAGGTGAAGAACTTCAGATTTAGGCCTTTACTGGGCACTTAGGTCCATTGAGCACAGTTCCTCAGACGATTACACATTCTACCCAAAAATGCATTACAGGGAAGGTCAGCCATGATCACTGATCACTAAAGCTGCATAAAGATTTCAAAAGATTTACAGATATGTTCATGTATTCCATAAGGAAGTGGCCCCCTGTCCCCTGGGGACTTCGTGTACATCACAGCAGGTAGTGGTGGTTCTACCCAGGTATGTGGGTAGAGGAACAGTGACAGATATGTGTCCAGAGTGATTAATGAGGCATCCAGTGGTTAATCTCAATTCTAATACATCTCTGATTTACCTCCCTTGTTTTAAGGTCATTCATGGGTTAATTAATGTATTCCTTAATAAGTTACAGGACATGTACTAGTATGACGTTCAGTGCTTGCATGGTATATGTAATTAATTAAACATTGCTGATCATCGTAAATAACCCCAAGGCCCAAACATATATGTATTATAATACTTTTAAACCCTTGTATTTTTACAAATGAATTATTGTAAATGGCTTTTTTTTTTGACTACCTTTTCTTTTCATTACTGATTTCACAGGATGAATTTGAAATAAAATTTTTTCTCCCAAGTTAATATTGAACAAGTTATGAAACTTTTAAAGTGGTGCTGAAATTAAGAAAGCAAAACAAATTGTAGAATATTCAATACAAACTGATCTTGTCCTGCTGATCACTAGCAAAACCAAACATGATTCACTATGATTGATGGGCTGTGTATGACAATCTTAATAACCAGATTTTAGCTCACCTGAGCTGAAAACTCAACTGAGTTTTTCTGATCACCATGATTGTCAAGCATTTGTTCAGCTGTTCATCTGCGTATGACACATCCCCATTCCATAAAACATTTACTTTTCTGTATGTAAAGAACAAGGTTCACTTAGGGCCTTTTTTGGCCCTGTGAATTTCAGAAAAACTGAAACTGCTTGGTTTTAGTTGACAATGCATTAAATATCATTTAGACCTTTGGTGACTGTGTATCTATCAAAAATGACGTAATTTTCTGCTAGTCAATGCATTATGATGTCATAAAATGCGTCATTTTCCTCATATCCTGAAAAATTTTACAAAAACAGCCAATTTTTAAAGCTATTTTTTGATATTTAATATAGAGCGCAACCTCTGATCTAAAATATGCAACTATTAAATGATAGAACTATTTCTGAAGATTACAAAACATGTTTTATTTTTTAGATCAGAGGGTGCACTCATATTATTTATCTTCTGTGAAAGTACTCAAATATACTTGTTTTCCTTAGAATTCAAGAACATTGCAATTTCATGAAGCCTGTTTTCTAAGACCTTGGCTTTAAGTAGAAAATTTTTAATAGGAAATGAAAGTACTAAGTCTCTACTTTATCTTGATGTTTAAAATGGAACATAAAGTGTAAGTCAATTAATTGGTATATCTACAGGGCCATTATATGCATAAAGTGAACCTAGCTCTTTATCATAGATTATATATTTGTTCCCCTGATTCAATTTCTATACTGTTTTTAAAAAACATCTAAAACCTATCACCGACCAGTGTGAAATGGGAGGTTCATTCCGTATTTTTACTCACCTTGTGAGCAAGTACTCCCTACCTAATAGAATGCATTGGGGAAATACAAGTAAATATCAGCACCCGTTTGATGTTAATTGCTAAGTGTGACCATTTAAAAATCACAGAAAGGAAGTATCAAAAAAGGAGATAATGCATAACATATAGTAAAAACCAGTTATGAGTAGCGGAAAAGCAGTATAGAGTAGTGCCTGAAAAGCAACAAGGTTCTGAAAATGAAATCGCGGAAAAGCAGGTCAGCCAAAATTTTTACATTTTTGACTTCATCTTGAGAATTACTTGGCCAATTTTAACCAAATTTGGCACAAAGGTCCCTGGGCAAAGGGGATTCTAAATTGTTCATATGAAAGACCAAGCCCTATTTCAAGGGGAAGAAAGTCAAGAAAAGGCAACCAAAAAAAAAAAAAATAGTACATGGTTAATAAAAAAAATCTTAAAAACCACTGGGCTAGAAAAAATGAAACTTCTGTGGAAGTTCTTTGAGATAACTGTAGATTCAGACCATCCAAATTTGAGCTCTTGGGGTTGGGGCCACAATAGGGAATCAAAGTTTTACATTGAAATACAGGTGCATATTGGAAATAAAATCACTGAACATTTTCTATTCAAGAACCACTGGACCAGAAAAGTTAAAAACTTAAGTGTAAGTTCCTGTGGTAATATAGATTCTGAAGTCTTCAAAGCAAGGCTGCTAGGGGTAGGGTGGGGCCACAAAAGGGGGTCAAAGTTTTTCATTGGTAATATATAGGGAATAAAATCTTTTTGTAAAGAACCACTTGTCCAGAAAAGTTGAAACTTAGCTGAAAGCTTTCAGACATAGTGTAAGCTTTAAATTGTTCAAATTAGGCTCTTGGTGGTAGCGTAAGGTCACAGTAAGAAATCATAGTTTAACATGGGAGTATATTGGGGGGGAAAATCTTTAGAGCTCTCCAGTGGCAGATCCAGGAATTTCGTAAGGGGGGCAGTAGAAGGCAGGGGGTCTGAGGGCTGCATTGAAGCCCCAAATGGGTCTAGGGCAAGGCCCTGGTGGAGGTCGGGGGGGGGGGGGGGGAGCCCCTGGAAGCTGACAAATTCTTACAAATAAGAGATGTTTTTTCCTTGATTTTAGGATAATGGACATATAAGTTCTACATACAAAAAATTCAAAAGCGGGAGGGCGCACGCCAGCGCGCCAGCCCTGGATCCGCCTTTGATCAAAAGTAGCAGTCAGATATTATTATGGAAACATCCTCAGATCTAGTGTGATTCAATTTTGCTCAGATTCTTAAGCTGTGTGGATTCTTTTTTTTTTTTTTATTATGGACATTTGGTTAGAGTTTGTAAAACTCAGGATCAATTTTACATAATGCAGGAAAAATCAAATCTCCATAACTGCAAGGCCATTTGGATATTAAAGCATCCTCATGTTGCGTGGATGCACGGATAACTGATAGTTAGGAAGGGGCCATAATATGGGGTCACAAATTTTCATGGGAAAATAAAATCTTTTAAAAATCTGATGAAGAACAGCAGAGCTAAAGTAACTCGGGTTAGTTTTGTGGTCTATGGGCCTCTTGCTTGTTAAACTTTATTAAAATACATTTGAGAAATGTCATAATAAATTTGCATACCAACTTTCATATTTTTTTTTGCTTTTCAGACCTTTCGCTTACCTCTGAGCTATAAATATGCCTGCCCCTCCCCCTCTACCTGGATGCTGGTCATCAACTCCCTTATTACCGTCCTGGGGGTGGGGCTCCCAGTGGCCAGAAAACAAGGTAAGTCAAATTAATATTGTTTGCATATTTTATGTATATTTCTAAATACATGTATCTATCATTATCCCTTTGGTCCCTTAAGACAATGAGACGAGGAATATGAGAGCTGGTAGCAACCTCTCTTAAAGCATCTGAAAATACAAGTTCTTATATAGGCATTAATGCAACAGGAATAATAATTAAAATATCTCTAAGAATGGACCATTGTCAAGATGGTCCAGTGCTTGGTCCTTGAGGGTTTATTAGCTGTATGATAGACTACATGTATATTATATATATAAACACTGAAATACCAAAAATGTTAATCATGGAAACTTTTCAAGGATATGCTTCTTGAGACTCGTTTACTTGTTTTGTACAAGTTTAGAGAGTGCAATCAAAATTTTAATTATAAAAAAGTGTGTTACAACAACTCCATTTCTTGTGTTTTAGGATCAGCTTTTCAAGGAATGTGGGGTGAACTAGCTAAAACCTTGGAAGAGTTCCTGTTTCCCAAGCAGTAAGTCAGAGTAAAGAGAGATAACTCTGATATGTTTGCAAATAACAATTTTAAAAAAATGGACCAGATTTAGCAATGTCAGATGTGTCAGTTTTTAGCAGCCCCATAAGCCCAAGAAAAGTGAATGTTCAACAGGGCTTAAAAGATTGTTTTAAAATATTGATTAGCAAAATAAGTAAATAAATATAAGCTTTTATGGTTAACAAATTTTTATAAATGTGTTTTGTATGCTGACATATTTCATTTGATACTCATTTTTGGTTGTATTTTTATAAAGTAATGATGAAATGCTATATTTACAGACCCTCCCCTGCTACACTGTCCATGGAGGATTTCCAAAGAGATGAGGCCATTGACTGTAAGGTAAATTAGCTTTTTTTTCCAATGCGCTGTTTAAGATGGTGGAATATAGGAGGTACACAGCTCTAAATTGTTAGAAGAAATTTAAAATGCTTCATTCTAAAATGATATAATATTGGAAAGTAGAAGAATTTCTTAACTTTGTAAGGTGGATCTTTGTGGAATTTTTTTTTTTCTGTTTCCAAAGAAAATATTTAATGTGAGTATATATTGCCGAAGTATAATATATCAAAAAAAATAAAATTCCCTCTGCCTCATAAAAATATCTGTATCTCCTGTTTATAATTACAGGTAGTACAGTTAATCAGAGACGACATCTTGCCATATGCTTCAACGATTCCACCCGAATTTGTCAAACAAATCATGAAGCTGCTCAATCGAGGCTCCATACATTCCACATCATCTGATTCCTTCATAGGTCAGGAGTAAATATATAACCCTAAACCTTTCTCTCTGTTTGCATTACTATATGCTGTGTCTTTAATGGAACCAATGATTATTTTTTTTATTTTGGTCAATTTATTCATCTTATACTTTCTTGTGTTTCCTACTCTTATGAACCTTTTTACATTTTTGTATGTTTATTGTAAACTTACCATATTTACTTATTCTTGAGAACTGCTTGAAAATGTCAATGAAATGTGCTTAAAGCTTTTAAAAAAGGGGGTTGAATTGTTCAGTTGATTTGAGATTTATGGAAACATAGAAAATGAAAGGGCATCTGTTACATGGGCAGTGCTTCTTTTATCAATGTACTGAATTGAATACAAGATCTCCATTTTACTTTTTGTACATCTCATCAAAACATTTTTTAGACACAGACTCCAGTAAAAAGCTGAGAGAAGAGTTTGCCAAGATCTGCTTTGAGACCCTACTACAGTTCTCATTTATCAACAAATCAAAAAGTGAAGAAGGTGCAATAACAAAGATGGCAGTGATGTCACTGCTACAGCGGTGTCAGGAGGTGGTCCATAAACATGTGGAGGATGAACGGCTCAGTGGGAAATGTCCCCTACCCAGGTACATCTAGTATAGAGGTATTGGTATTGGTCTATAAACATGTGGAAGATGAACAGATCAGGGAAATGTTCCCCACCTAGGTACATCTTCTATATAGGTATTGGTAAGTGTACCCAAGGGACAAACTACACAAGATTGAGGGAATGTCCTGTATCCAGCATTAGGCTGTTGACAAACTTGAATTTTAAACAATTTGGTAGGGGGTTTGTAGGGAAGGGCAGGCCTTAAATTTTTTTACAAGCACTGCATGTACAGGGAAAAAAATTACAGAAAAACACATTTAATATATATACTCTGTATCAGAAAGAGGTTACTAATTATATATTGTTTAATTAGCATACTTTTTATAACAATAGTAATTTTTGTCATTTCTCTTGTACACAGTGTATATGAAATATTTACTTCTCTACCAAAGAAAAATCATAAATGGACATTGAAATTACATGTAGCTACTTCAATTCTTTGAAATGAACATATTCCCAGTGCTGATTAATGTGTGTGATTGTTGTAGACCCAGGCTGGCAGAGATGGCCTCAGTTTTAAAGGCAATAACAACACTACTGAAATCCCTGAAACAAGCTCCACCAGGCAATGGTAACTTGTTGTTTCAAAGCTTCTTTTCCTTTATATAAAAGAATAAGGTCAACTGTTATTGCATTGTAATAAAGTTTAAGTACATCCTCACAATGTCAAGGTTTTGTGATTTCAGAACTCCACACAAACCCTTGACGTAAGTTGCTATTTAAAAGTTGGGGTTTTAGTTACACATGACATAATGAGTAATATAAACTAACCAAAGAGAATGTATTTTTCAAATCTGTCATTTTCAAATGGCCCAACTTCTGCGCATATCTTTTGTTACTGTTACATGTAGGATGACGATCTTCAAAAAATTAATCCCCGATGTTTCATTTAATGTAACTAGTCACAAATCCTACAATATCGACACTTTCCATTTTAAAGACGAGTCATATTTGTTTACAAAACTTACCTCCAAAAAAAGCTGTTTTCTGATTGGTTCCAGTCCTAGACCAGGAACAAATAAAATAGTAGCTTTCTAGCCCAACTTGTAAATAGCGACTTATGTCAGGGGTTTGTGTGGAGTTCCGAAATCACAAAATCTTGACATTGTGAGGATGGTTTAAGTATAGCTTACTAATTGCTAAAAGTAGACATTTTAATTCTTGCCATAATGTAGGCTTCAAAGTCAGATCCAGCCCCCCCGGTTGAATTTTTTGTATGTAGAACTTATATGTTCATTATCCTAAAATCAAGGAAAAAACACCTCTTATTTGTAAGAATTTGTCAGCTTCAGGGGGCTTTGCCCCGGTCCCCCAACAGGGTTTTGCCCTGGACTTGCTGGGGGGCTTCCATACAGGCCCCCAGACCCCCCCCCCCCCATTATGAAATTCCTGGATCCGCCACTGGGCTTGTAATCGTGGATTTCTCAAAAAAATCATACTTTTTGGATACAGTATTAAATGTACTAAAATCTGTCATTGAAGTTATGAATTCCCATTCAATTTGTTGTCTATATCAAACCTGTTCTCCATAAACATTTCAAAATTTTTAACTTCTTATAAGTCACTGTGGAATTTCAGGTAAACCTTCCTGAAAAATCCTTTGGTTAGAGAAGATTCAATTTTTAACAGGGTTTCCACTGGAAATAAATCTGATTATTGAAATGGTGAATTTGGCATGGCATGCAGGCAGCTGCCAAAAGGGTACATCATTTATCTGGAAAACTCCTCCTACAGTTTTCAAGATAGGAACTTTTCATTTTGCAGATCAATTGTACATATATCAGAGATGTGCACAGTACTTCGATTTTGATTTTCGGATAATTGATAAGAAAAATACCAGTTGTTGAAATTCATAATTTTTATGCAAAATATTACTTATAGGGTTCATCTTTTGTCCGAATAACTCTCCTACAGTTTTCAAGATAAGAAATTTTTATTTTGCAGTTCAATTGTATATATATCAGAGATGTGCATGGTTCTTGAATTAAATATTTTGAACATTTGTGGGGAAATTACCAATTATTGAACTTGTATATTCATTTTATGCAAAAAATGTTCATAGGATACATTAATATTGTTGGGATGTCAACTCCTACAGTTTTCAGAATAGAAAGTTTTTATAATTTATGTGAGAAACACCAGTACTGTTTACACAAAAGAAAAACAAGTTTGCTGACACACTGAAAACTGTCCCTTATGTCTTAATAAAGGATTAAACCCAATTTGCACAATGGGGGATCAAAGATTTATACAGAAGTATAATTTTATAGAAAGATAGACATCTTCAGTTAGCATGTAGGTGTCCTCGCACTACAAGTCTGTACACATTTTAGCCTCAGGTAGTGAACACGAATCCCCAAGTAGTTAAAATACAATTGTGTTCCAGCAGTGACCCCTCTGGACAGAGAATTGGCCACAGGAGGGGGACTTAATTTCTTTATGCAGGAAAACATAAGGGGGAAAAACTTTCTACTTATAGTAAATGTATTACATGTACAAGCCTACTTATATACTGTGTCAAATTAGTGCGCATTTCTTACAGTGCAGATTAAGATTTCTTCAGTCATTTTATGTCTGTCTGCAAGTACTTTAAACTTTATAAGATCAGAGAATGCTTACCAAAAAAGTTGCTGCAATACACTCAGTTGGCCATAGAATTCTTGTTTTCAATCTATAGACAAAAGAGTTTACCTGTACATTCAATCTTTTGGGCTTAAGATGCTTGAAAAACAATTCAGGCTATATAATGTTAAATGTTTCTTTTTCATTTAAGAAATTATTCATTTCATTATGTAAGGCTACAAAGTACAGTTGAACTTCGGTATCTCAAACACTGATATCTCGAATACCCTGGATAAGTCGAAGTGATTATGAAGTCCCAACCACATATTCTTTAAGTATTTTACCCCTGATATCTCGAATCCTCTGATATCTCGCAGTTTTTTCCTCGGCCCTATCGAGCTTGAGATAACAAGGTTTGACTGTACTTTGTTTTTTTGGTGAATGTGAAAGTTTACTATTTGTAGTGGAGAAGCAGGTATGGAGGATGGTTCTCCAGTTATACCCCTGTCTGGTTGACTGCACCACCTCCCCCTCCCCGAGTGTGTGTAAGGCCCTCCGTGATGCCCTCCATGAGTACGCTGACCTCCTGTCTCCCCCGACAAGTGCCGTTACCAACGGAACCACCTGACCAATGAACAAACCCAAAACTGGAACAAAGTAACACTCGGAACTGGATCTGGTGTTTGGTTCTGGTGCATCAGTGCAATCAACAAATATTATTTATGGTGGAAGGGATTTATCATGTGATATACTACAGATCTGCAAAGGCAAACCATACTTAGAGGAACCTTGTTAGAGTTCCAATGCTAGGTTTAACCTGTAAAAAAGGGAACAATGGCTGGTCATAAGGTGGAGATATCAGTGTATTGCTTATGAAAGAAAAGATATGTCACATACTGTATGGGTACTTATTATACAAAAACAGCTAAAGACAGATTTTAGTGGTTAGTGACCTTGTTCTTTAGGGTAGATCATAGACCCTGTGGTATAATTTTGAAGAATTGCTTTCAGTATTTTTATGTATAATCCTTATATAAAATAATGTTTTGGCAGTATTCATAAAATTGAGCCAAAGGCGCCAAAGAATGAATCTATTAATAAGTACACATACAGTAGTATTTATGATGTATTTTAAACAGTGTCGGTAGATTGTAATTACATGTATTAATTGCATTACTCATATGTATGATTATATTATTCATCTCTGAGAAAAAATGCTAGTCCTACAAAAAATAAAGTTTAGCTCATTTGTGATGTTGTACGTTAGGATTTGATACGTGGTATAACATGGTGCTTTACAGATGAAATTTTTTCTCATGGAAATCTTTTGTTCAACATGTCTACGTACTTGATAGATTATTATTTTCTTCATCATACAGAAATGGAATCATATATTTTATCATGATTAATGCTTTTTACTGTAAATTTGGGCAAAGAAAAAAAAAAAAACAAACAAATATATATTTATTTTAAAAAATCAAGAAATGCTGTCAGATGTTGAGGTTGCTTCCTGAATAATCTGCTTGCTATGATAAAACCACACCTGTTCATTTATTTGTTGACTATCATACCTGTAATATTTGTTTATGTCTATATTAAACACCATTACAATATATATTATAGCATTTTATATTCCTTAATGTACTGCACCTCCATCAATTGCAAGCTAAAAAGATGTGTAAATATTTTCAAAGGAAATCAATGTATAAATGTCAATTAACAGACTGGTAAAAATGATTTGGGGGGGGGGGGGGGGGCATTGGATGTGTTCTCTTCATGTGATATGAGAAATTTGTGGACTCAAGTCATCTGATGAAGTTTCTTATAACTTTTTTACCACAGTACAATCATATTCCACTTTTGTACAATTGACCTACCTTAATGTTAAAGATCTTGCTTGCATTTGGCAAAAAGTAGGCAGTGTTTTTCGTACAACTTTTTTTGTCAATTACAATGTTTTTGTACATCAACCGTTCAAATTTGGAATGATTCAAAACATATTTCATAACAAGTTTATATTACCAGACTTTCAACTTACATAGCTGCGACATATTTCCATGATATTCAAGATATCGATATTTGAGATACTGAATATCAGCTGTATTAAATGGAAGGGGTGTAAACAGTTATGAATTAGTCAGAATTAATATTCTGCGATAAATCCAGTAATCAAAGAGTGGAATAAATAAAACATACACATGATAAAGACACATGTCTTCAATAACTGTGATTTGAACTTGTGCAGCATTCATTGAATGCTAGTCATCAACTTGATTGAAATTATACTTAACTGAAACGTTATTAGATTTCAACACCAATTAAAAAAAAAAACATGTTTTTATTAAATTACGTGCCATAAACAATAAGTACAAAAATAACGTATATTCTACAAGATTTTTTTATATTACACCAGTTAAAGTATGCGTGTATGTACATATGAATTGTGATCAGACATAGAGATTGTCACCAAGAATCCATTTAAGGAAGTTTAGCTGAAGTGCCTGGACAAAATCTCCGGTACCTGGTCCTCCGTGTAGTGGTAGACGTAAAAATTATCTCCCTTGGCTCCCGAAATCATGGGAGAAATTCCTACAAAATAATAAATGTGAATCAGATGTACAAAATGGTTCACGGGTTAAATACAAATCAATGCTCTGATGCAGCAGGGGCCCCTCCCCTTCCCCCTCCCTTTTATGATTCTTATATATCAACATTCGAGTTACGTCTCTCAGCAAAGGTTAATTCCTCTGTGTCAAGACACTGGACACGAGTATAGTAAATTTTTAGAGGGGATATTTTAGCTTACTTTTCTCTGGCTCGGGACGAAAAAGACAAATGATTGTTTTGTTCATGGCCACTGCTCTTCCGATCTCGTATCCCACGCCGGTGGAAGCTTGTGTTACCTCAGCAACTAGAACTATATAAAATAGTCAAATCAACTGTACATGTACGTTTTCTTGCTTCCCGAGTATTCAGTTCCTTCCCTCAAACCCTTCAAGCTCCCCCAAAAGAGATAACTTTTCAACTTTTATCTTCTTTAAAGTTTAAATTGAAAAGGAGGAGGTTTAAGGAAGCTGTAAGGCCAAACAAAAAAATATGTGTGGTTCCGGTTACACTTCCAAAAAAATTAGGGTAGGTAGGTAGGGATTTTTTTTTTTTTTTTTTTTTTTAACAAAATGATTTTCTTAATTTTTTCTAAATAATACCTATCACTGCTTTGCAAATGGCATTTAGATGTGGTGTGATAATATACTAGTCAATATTGGTAGGGGACACCTACATGCTAGCTTGCTTTGGATTTAACACTATTAAACACTTGCACTATGTTTTGCAAGGAGGCCGTCATTGCTGAAACTAAAACTTAAACTGGAGCCATTGATGGAAATCGGGGGAAATTCCGGAAAAAATATGAAAATTGCCAAAAAAAAGTTTAGGGTCGGGGGTATAAAATAGGGAAGGTCGGGTAACCGGAACCACACATATTTTTTTATTTGGCCTAAACATGACACATTAAAGAGTTTTAATTCCTTGTTAGATGTAACTTAATGTAGTTAGAGTGATCTTCCCTTAGATGTAAGATAGCATGAATAAAATTTACACTGAATGTCACAAATGACTAAAAATATTCCCCACATTATTTAAAACCAAGCTAAATCAATTAACAACAAAATTTTGCAGATACCATAAATTGAAATTGATATATTGGAAAGCTTGAAATGTAAATCTTTATACGTGATTTTCTCGAAGAAAAAAAAAAAAAAAAAAAAAAAAAAAAACATATTATTTTATGTTTAAAGGTTCCTTAATTGATAAATTATAATGGATTACCGTCACATTGGCTTAACCAGTCTATGTCCCTGTCATGAATTAATATGTCTGTGAGACCTTCTGCTTCTTCATCTTGTTTAAAAAAAATAATCATCAACATAATCTTGTTTAAAAAAAAATAATCATCAACATAAATATCGAACATAATACCCCACAAAAAAAATGGGACATGGACAACCAACCCATCCCACGCCTCCTGCAGTTTCAAGTAATTCAATTCAATTCAGTTTATTGACATCACCATGTTGACATACAGTCAAAATAAGAAATCAAATGACAGATAACAGAAAAAAAGAGAAGAATATTATAACATAATTGCATGCAGTTCAATTTTACATAGTTCCTTATAGACCTTGGCATTGTTTCCTCTGCATAAAGCATTTATCTAAGTAGATACATAAACGTTTAGTAAGTAAGTAAAATAAGACTTCAGTTGAAAACGAGAAATATTAGTAGCTCGTAGAGAGGAGAAGTTTATTTTGTTACGAAAATAGAAATTATTAGAAAACAAATGAATACATGTAATAACAAGATGTGTTTGTGAAACACTATGCACCCGGCGGCAACAAAGTTCGAAAAAGCTATTTTTAGCATATAGGTCACAGTCAAGGTCACAAGGTCATTGACCTTGGTGTCATTTGAAAGAACTTAATGAGTGGAGTATGCATACCAAATACGAAGTCTCCCTCTCTCATGGTTCAAATGTTATGGTGAAGGTTAAAGTTGACAACAAACAGACAGACAGGACAAAAACAATATGCGCCCTCGATCTATCGATCCGGGCGCATAAAAAAGGTATTTATTTTTTTTAAAAAATACAGTAAAGGGGGGGGGGGGTGTCCTTACCCAAAGTACCTCTGATTAAAAAAAATATATCTCAAATGAGAAAATGAAGATTTGGTTTCCGTGCAAATATTCAATAACCCCCTTCCAATTCTTTTAATCACTTGCTTGTAGAAAAAAAGTGAATTTTGTCTAAAAATCGATTTGTTTGAAAAATTACCTGCTTCTACAGTGGAACTAGCCACGTGTTCCGTTAATACCGTCCCGCACTTTTTCAGGTGATTGACGAGGCGCAGGTATAAATCAGCATCTTGTCGGCCACCCGTTATACTCCCGGCAAAGTAAATTTTGTGGAGCATCGACATCTGAAATGAGAAATAAAATCATATATAAAAAAATATAAAAAGAAAACGAAAAAAAAACAGCAAATAACAATTTTTCACGACTTACAGAAAGGTCGACGGATTTCTTTAACAAAGAGTTATGCATTACGACAGTGGTTATACGGACAACAACCAATAAAAGTTTTGTACATTATATATACATGATTGATTTAGTCCAAATCAAGGCCCTATCGAGCATCACAAATAATTTGATTCTTAAAAGCACATTTAAGAGTGAGGGGAAAAAAACATTGTTTCAGAATAGAAAAGTTAAAATTTACGAAAGGGTTAATGAAATAACCTTCTCGAATATACCTTAATTACATCCAGAAATGGAGAGGAACTCTCGATGCAATGGTTTAAATAGCATGTGAATCATCGACTCTCCTCTCCATGCACTTGAAGTATGCTCCAATCAAAAACAAATCTAACTAAAACTTGTTTTTTTTTTTTCCTTACCATTGTTTTCATTCTTACACGTACGCAAATGACCTCTACTTATGGCGTCAAACGTACAATAGTACACACCTTATTTTGCATTTTTTCTGCACAACCTTCAATAACAATACACCGTGACGAAGCAGTCAAAAATATACGCAACGTAGATGACAATCCTCATGAGTTGATTGAACTTTTAAAAAAAAAATCAAAAAAAAAAAAAAAAAATAAATAAATAAATAAAAAGATGTGTTTGTGAAACACTGATACTCCCGCATGGCAACTTATAGCGAAGGTTAAACTTCAAATATGTTGGTACCCAAAGTAAGGCTTTGTCTCGGGGAATATACCTGTGGAATATAAAAGTCCTAGCAGCTATGGAAAAGTTTGGGTTTTTTAAGTAAATCAAACAAGAAAGGTCCTGTCACAAGGAATACACATGTGAAATATGAAAGCCAAATATGAAAATCCAAAGTTATGGGCAGGCCTAGGGTTAAAGTTTTTGCGGACAAACAGGCAGACAGACGGATGGACAGGGCAAAAACTGTATACTCCTGAATCTTCGATTACGAGAGCATAAAATATACATATACATAAACATACATACATATACATAAATATAACTTAACACAGCTAGGCGCATGCTCGATTAATTCAGTTGAGATTTGCTCCGTGTGCATTGAATTCTGTCTTAAAGCAAGTCATCATAAACGGTTATAAAAAAGTTAAAGTACCGATGACATCTACGTTGTAAATATTCATCACGTTTATAATTACTTTCACATCGTGATCGTAGGGACCCGTTCTCCAGCCCCCTCTCTCCCAATTATTTTGCGGATGTATGCTATACCAGTCAACGGAAAACAAAGTAATTTACAGTTGTATACCCTTTCAATAATAATGTAATAATGTCTGGGGGGTTTTTTTTTGGGGGGGGGGGTTCCAATGAATTCCTGTTCAGCTCCCATCCCCCGAATTGATGAAACTGCTTCCATTGTACACTCCCAGCCCAGGATGGGTTGTTCGCATCCGCAGATCCATTGAAAGTAAAATCAGTTTTGTAAAGGGGTCTAAGTGTCCTTGACATGCGAAAAAGGGTTATTATTAAGGAGTGTCTTGGTTTTCTATTGTATATGTCTTTATTTGAAATATAAAAGGGGGTAGGCTCGATTCCTACAGGCCTGTAACAAAAGAGGTGTGGTTAATGAAATCATGCAAGGCAATTGCTTGATTAATATTCAGTAGAGAGTCACTCCCGTGTGCAAGATTTTACTCTGCGGAGTTTTTCCTTTCGTGATTCAAAGTGGGCACGTAGTATCAAGGGAGCAGACCCCCCTTCTTTTCGGGAATAGTGTCCTTTACAAAATTTGTAGATTTTTTTCAATTTAAATTTGGATATGACAATTGAATTGTCATATACAGATTTACTGATTTAGATTTATTTATTTTATTGAAATAATAATTTCTATACAGTTTGCAAAAACTTTAACATTGCCCATAACTTTTGATTGGTTGGAGCTATGGCTTATATATTTCACAAGTGTATTCCTTGTGACAAGACCTTTCTTTGGGTACTATCATTTTTTACCTTGATCTTGGAGGTTGACCCAGTTTTGAAAAATTTTACCGAACTTTAACCTTGGCCGTAACTTTTGAACAATTAGTGCTAGGGCTTTAATACTTCACTTGTGTAATCCTTGTGACAAGTCCTTTCTTTGGATACCAAAAACTTTGACGTTTTGACCTTGACCTAGAAGTTTGACCTTTTTTTTTTTAAATTCACATTGGCTATAACTTTTGAACAGTTGGTGCTAGGGTTTTCATACTTTACATATTTAATCCTTGTGACAAGACCTTCCTTTGGATTCCAACAACTTTGACCCTTTGACCTTGGAGTTTGACCTGCTTTTGTAAAACTTTAAACTTGACCATAACTTTTGAATGGTTGCTGCTAGGGCTTTCATATTTGATATGTCTATTCCTTTTGACAAGACCTTCCTTTGGATACCAACAATTGTAATCCATTGACCTTGACCTTAGAGTTTGACCTACTTTTGAAAAACCTTGGCCGTTACTTTTGAATGATTGGTGCTACGGATTTTATATTTCACGTGTATATTTTTTGTGGGAATGCCTTTCCTTGGGCATCATTAATTTTGACCATTTAACCTTGACCTTGATGTTTGACTTACTTTTTAAAAACTAACCTTTTCCATATCTATTCAATGGTTGCTGCTAGGACTTCCATATTTCACAGGTATATACCTGGGGACAAGACTTTACTTTGGGTACCAACATATTTGATGTGCATTTGCGAAAGTTTCACCTTTGTTATAAGTTGCCATACGGGGGCATCAGTGTTTTCACAAACACATTTTTCTTTAAATTTTTTTCAATTTTATTTTTTTATTTTATTTATTTATCTATTTATTTATTTTTTGTGCTTGTCAAGAAATTTCTGGGTTGGAAATTTTTTGACTGGGGTGGACTCTCCCTGGAAAAAATTCCTAGATCAGAGCCTGATTTTGGTTTACAAGAATTCCGTGTTCCATACAAAATTAACTCCAAAAGATTCTTTTTAGGAAAATTCTAAATGTGCGCTCATATTGAAGATAAAAATACAAGGAGAAAAAAGAAAAAAAAAATTAAAAATCTGACGATTCATTTGAAAAGTTTCACTTTGCTCTTGTCGAGACTCATTCATTTTGGATTTCTCGAAAATATCAGTAGAATACAGATGACGAATATGAAGTTTACCAAACATTATTATTATACCTCATATAAATAATCTCTAGTAAAATAGAATCTGATTGGCCGATACAGTCACGTGACCGTCGTGTTTGCCCTGCAACAAAACTTCGTGTTTCACGGTTATGACGTCTATGCGGTGACTTAGATGGTTACTACTGAGTTTGATCGTTTATATCATTGATTGATATTGTCGACTCAAACGTGTAAAATATAAAATATTTACAGAAGTGTTTTCACGGGTGGGGTTGTAATGTTACTGGTGTGTAAATTACATTGACTCGTCACGAATGAATGTTTTTATGAAGCGGGACTAATGGTGTAACTAACATCTGTTTCATATTGTTCTTATCAAATGTTTTACTTTATTCATCGGATTTTCTTTGTATTTCTTGCATTGTGCTTGATTCGGTATAATAAACAATTTATTGCATGATAGTGAGGGAGACATGAAGATTTCTTCGCCCATGAAGAATCATATTCCCCGAGGGCGTTGCCCTCGGGGAATATGATTCTTCATGGGCGAAGAAATCTTCATGTCTCCCTCACTATCATGCAATAAATGTATAATGTTTTCTAATAACAATATTAAAGTACAAGTAAACATAATTAAAAGTGGTATAATAACCCAAAAAAATCACTATTTCTGTGTGTGTGTCAGAAAGGGAAGGTGTTGAAATCGATCAATACAAAGTTTTTAATCTCGGTGCAATGCTAAATACACTGTCTTGTAAACTTAAATTAACATTCATCATCTTTATTCTTCTGCAATATCAGAACCAGAGGTCTCTGTCGAGACTATATATAGCGCTTGTTTCTACTCAATAAAGGAAGAGAAAAGCAGCACCTTAAACTTAGCAGCTATGGCAACATCAATAAAATGAATTATGATTCTTGGCTAACTTGTATATCAAGTTTGTTTTTATTCAGACCGAAAACGGTAGGAAGAGTTCCACATTGAAGGAAAAAAAACATTACTAGTAAACATTATCCTATTTTAGTAACCAGTCCAGCACTATTCATCAACCCAATAATCAGATTTATGTATCTTAGTGTAATCTACTTGTGTATAATGTAATATTAAATCGAACCAAAACTGTCTAATTGTATACTATTATTGAAATTGGATTAAATCTGAAGGAACAATAGCATTTTCACCGAATTTTCTATTTTTAGTAACATTGTTATTACATGTACCGTTCAACGAAATCAAAAGCCGATATATTGAGTTATGTATCTAATATAGTCTTACTGAAATCAGACGAAAACTGTGGGGGCGTTCAGAAAGAATTTCACAAAAATTTCTATTTTAAGTAATCATAACACAGTTCATCGAAATCAAAATTTGATAACCAGAACTATGTATCTTAGTATAGTCATTTGATTTTTGACAATCAAAAATTGATATACTGAATAATGTATCTTAGTATAGTCAACTTGTGTACCAGATCTTGAAATCGGGCCAAGCTGTGACCATAAAAGACCAAAACTGTGTAGGGTGGCAATCATAAAAGAATTTCACAGAAATTTCTATAATAAACATGGCAACACTGTTTACCGAAATCAAAGGCGATAAACAGTGTCTTATTACAGTCTATTTGTGTACCAAGTTTCATTGAAATCAGATCAAAAACGTAGGAAGAATAATCATTGGAAAATTTTCACAGAAATTTCAATTTTTAGTAACCAAGGTAAAACTGTTCATCAAAATCAAAAAGCGATACACAGTATTCTACTAATACTCTACTTGTGTACCAATGCAAGTCTTTTTCTGAAATCATTAAGGCGCTCCCCATCTATTCGTAAATGACGGAATGATAAGTCTATCCACATGTGTTTAAGAACAGGACCCCCCCTCCCCCCCCCCCCCCCCACCCGAGTATAGATCCCGAGCCTTTTCAACTTTTTTCATAAATAATCTTTCTATGACATATTCATAATTTAATCCATACCATCAATCGGAAAAAAAATCACCTACACAGGGCTCTAATTGGCGACTAATTTAGTCGCCATGGCACCTAAAAATTATGATTGGCACCTTAAATTTTTCTAAAAGTCGCCAAATTGACGACCATTTTAAATTGACTTGGTGATCGTCAATTTACTGAACTATAATTAAACATTTTCAAATTTGTTTTTATAAAGAGCAGAAAAGAAGTTTGAAAGTTAGCAATGGACATGTCTCTA